CAAATAGACGTGCTTTAGTACCTTAAAGTGGCAAGTACCCAATACCTTCTACGTGATCTTTGATCTCAACACTTATGCTAGCTTTCTGATGCTTCCGCATACGGTCGCTCACGCATAGGACGTAACAGATGTACCAATTTATTGCATGTATACGATGTAATATAATACAATATTTGGAGACTAATATAATCATATATTTAATAAATCTTAAGTTAACTAGGTGAACCAATAAGCATAGTTGATAATTAAGAAAAAAAAAAGGGTTGAGACTTGAGTTCCGAACTCGAGACTCTCGGCCTTAATGAATCTTAAGTTAACTAGGTGAACCAATAAGCATAGTTGATAATTAAGAAAAAAAAAAGGGTTGAGACTTGAGTTCCGAACTCGAGACTCTCGGCCGTTAATCCAGCACCAAGCACGTTTGCCATCGAGTCATTATGATATATCATTTAGCAAACTTATATTTCTGTAGTTACCCGTGTTCGAGAGTTTATTTAAAGTGTTATTTGCTCACTCTATTATTTACAAAGCTTCATATGGATATTAAGGGAATTAACATCGGCAAAATTTACTACCTCATTACTACGGTTTATGTAATATGCAGTAAGAAAGGGTGGATTCAAGTCTCCCTATTTGAGTGTTCACCCGGTTTAAAATAGTGGATCTCGAGGAACACACGAATTCATTGGACCAATCAAAAACGCGGAATTGCTTCGAGGATCCTCCGCTAAGGTGGCGCGCCGAAACCAGAGAAAACTGGAGACCACCAAAAACAGGCTCATTGGCAATCTCCCTACTCATCTCTGCAGGCGGCACGGCGCTGACTTCGCCGACGCGCGGGCTGGCTGCGCACGCCGGTCAACATGGCGGCCTCCAGGCCTGTCAAATATCCTCCCTTGCAAGTCTTCGGGGCTGGAGGGGAGAGGGCTCCAGCCCTGTCACGCGGGCCTCTCTATTACCCGTGTGACGGGACTACACCGGGGCTGCATACACATGGCAGTGGTTGGGAGTTGGCGGACGTCAGTTTCTCGTGGCTGGATCAGCTGTTCCTCCTGCCCATGCCATCCCTGCCTTCCGCTGTCTCGGCGACGTAGCCACTCTCTCAATCCTTCCTAGATGCTGGGTCCTCGAAGACGATCCTTGATGACGGTCCTCGTTGATAGTCCCCGAGCCAGTGCCCTACGGTGAATGGTGGCAGGGGGGAAGGGTGGAGGGATGGGATCTTACGACTAGTTATAATAGACCTAGAACACTAAATACAGGGTGTTCGTTATAAAACGCACTGTAGTAACATCGTTGCATTCCTTGTCAAATTCTAATGAATACGTATATTTTCATTTTTTATTTCATATATCAAAATTTCGAGATAATCAAGGTTGAAGTTGCAGTAATTCGACCAATCAGAGCGCGTTTAATCGGAGCGTAGATGACATCGCGAGTCAGCCTGCAAGACCTGCTTACACTAGGCTAATAACACTAAGAGTATTGTCGTAGTGTCCCTGTTTATCTGCATGTAATTGAGTGAGATA